CGATTTTTTAAAAAAAATTCCGCTATATTGGATCCGCCATTTTGAATTTTGAAAAACTGACCTCGGATTCGTAATCAGCGACTCCGAAAACCCCCGAGTCACGAGTTTCAGGCAAATCCAATGAATTTTTCGAAAATATGTCAGCCATTTTGGATCCGCCATTTTGAATTTTGAAAAACTAACCTCGGATTCGTAATCAGCGACCCCGAAAACCCCCGAGCAACGATTTTCAAGCCAATTGCTCAACATTTGGAAAATGTTTTTTGCATGTTTTTCGACACTCTTTTTGAAAAAAAACCCTAAAATCTAAGGGTTAATTTGACCAAAACACCCCCGTTTCACCTAAAATCAATGAAAAATTACTTTTTCTACTATAAGAAAAAGTTTTCAACCATTTAAATTAAAATCCCAAGGGGGCGAAATATAGGCCTTAGGGGCCCCTCCTCCTTTATTTTCGTAAATATTGATATTTTTTCCGTTTTATGGTTAAAAATTTTAATTTTGAATATTAAATTTTTGTATTTAAAAAAAAAAAAATTTTTTAATTTTTTTGGTAGATTGTATTGTTGTTACATTATAACTTGACAAATGATTTGTTTGGAATAAAACTGAATCAGAAATTTTTTGCCAAAAACTTTTTTTTTAAATTTTTGACCCCTATTTTTAATTTTTTCAAAAAAATTTTTTGCAGCACAAATTAGCACAAAATTAGCACAATTTAGCACAAAAATTGATTTTTTGAAAAAATGAAATGGTGTTGCCAAATTCTCGGACGTCAAGTTGCTTCCTTTAGCCGTGCAGAAATTGCCCGACTTTGCCCTATTTAAAGTAAGGCATTGGTAAGGGCCTCATCAGTTTTCCCTGTTTGAGTAAAATGTGAAGAAATTAAAATTTTTTAATTTTTTCCTTCATAAAGTGTTATTAACAATCAAATAAAATCGTTTTAGAAGAATTTTAGATATTTTTTTATTTTAGGGTTTTGACCAGTATTCCCGACCAAAACCCCAAATAGGTTATTCCATATATGGCCCTGTCAAGGGCCTTTTCAGTTTTCCTGGTTTAAAAAAATTCTAACTAATTAAGTATTTAAAGTTAACATTTCGCAAAAATGTTATTGTAAATTAGTTAAATGGTTTCGATTTTAAATAATAATTTATTTCTTATTACTAAATTTTCTTATGGATTCCTGTTAAATTCCCTAAATATGAAACTCCCTATAGGTACCACGGTATTGACACATTTTTCAGAACGATGGCGCAAATGTCGCAATATATTCATTCCTACGCGTAGGAATTAGAGGAAAGGATTACTGTTTTCATGTAGTCACTATTATTGTAAAGACTGTCGTTAAAGTCTAATTTATAATTTTTGTTGTAGAATTAACTGTTATTTTGTAGTAAATATTACTATTTTTAGCAGTTGAAAAAGTTTTTATGTAAATTTTGAGAAGTATTAATTAAAAGAAGATAATGAAGTAAATTTGACTACATTGGATAGTAAAATTAACTGCATAGTGACAAGAATGTCCTTTAATATTATGCAAGCCATCCTATCGTGCGTGCTTGGGTAGATGGTAAAGTTGTCGACTTGCGAATGTTAGGGTCGTGCGTTCAATCCCCAGCGTTTAAAGTTTTTTCTCTGTTAGGTATATAGAAATTAAATATTATAAGGCATATATATAAACGAAAGTAGTAGGGGAGAGGACAAAAAAATGAATCTCAACACTAATATTAATAATAATAATTTTATTATTTTGAATAGTTTTTTTTTTTTACTAAATTTTACAGTTAATCTGACAATTTTTACATAGTTGTTTCAACTACTGTTTATTATAGGCGCCTCCTGGAACTAGAAGAAATAGTTAAAATGTAGTCAAAACCATGCATTTTTTTAGAGTGTATATAATATAAAAAAATAGTTTATTCGTATGCATATATGTTTATATATGTATAAATTAAGCAAAGACAAGAGTGGAGGGCATTTTATGATGCTATTAATAATAATTTTAAACAAAAAAAGTAAATCTGTAAATAAAAATCTATTTCTTAATAAAGGATTAAGTTTTTTTTGCCCTAAAAAAAAATTTGGTGGAGCAAACCAAACATTTTTGTTGGCCCAATCAAATTTTGGTTGCTGACAGACGAAATATTTTTCACAGTGTGTTAATTAATGTATAATTGAATAATTTTTTCTATGTCTTGAATCAAACTTTGCGGGTTCATACAGATATAGATAATTAGACAGACAAACGGACATATACCATTATCAGATTTTCCTACTCGGGTTACAAATGATATATGCGCGTGAAATTTTCAGAAAATGTCTGATAAATTATACAAATAATGTAGTTTCAAATTACATTGAACACCTATTGTAATAAATGTTAAACAAGTTAAGCGACAGGTGATTATCAAGCCACCTGTTGAATATATCGGTTTGAAATCTTATAACTTACAATATATACACTGTACACACACATTGATCCATGTATATATATTATGTAAGTTTACGCTTACTCGACTTGAATTCACAGTTACTTTGGGGGTATCAAAAAGCGTTGCAGATCAAATTGATTTAAAAAATAGATCAAAATGATCCAAAATTTGTATTATTTTACTGCAACATTTGATGTCAATTGTTTGTTCTGAAACGTCAATGACATAACCATCGTTGAGTTTATGAAAAAATTGCATTTTCTATTTGAAGTTTTAGTAAAAAATTGTTAAAGCACTCGACTATGAATTTAAAAAAAAATTTTGTTTAATCAATTGGTTTTTGGTTCATTGGATCAGTAAGGATTGATATTCTAACCATAACCGTTTGGTTAGAATTCCTGGTGCTTGAAACAAAAATTTTATTCCAATTAATTTTTTTTAATAAAATAATTTGATTCGGAAAATTGATTTGATTGGCACAGAAAATAATGTTTTGCTTTTCTTATTAAATTAATTATGCTTGTTAATAACAAAAGTTTTTTTCAACAATGACTAAATTAAAAAATTGATTATAACACTTAAGCTGGTAAGCAAACAAAAAAGGTGTCCTTTATGTTAAAGTTATAAAGAAGATCATTTTATGAACATTTTTGTTTTCTCGTTGAGGTAAGAAAAAAATTTGCTTGTGCGTAAAGAAAGCATTAAATTTGATTTGCTTTTATGTAAAATTTTATACATGTCGTTAATTTTATTTTTATATAATAATATATTTATTTATAATATTTATTTCATAATAAATTGTTCCACATTAGTTTGACAAAGAATTCCTGGATATTAAGTAAAAATTAAAATAACTTGTTATTATTTTTCATTAATTTGTATTTTTTAAAAGTATATCTAATGAAAGTGAAAACATTTTGACAAGTATAATGAATTAGTTTTTAGGGTTCCGTACTCGGTTCGGAACCCTATTAATATCGGTTTTTTTGAAATCGTGTACCCCCCCCCTAGCGGCCACATAAATTTATCTGGAGGGCTGAAAATTAGTACACATATGTATTTTCGCGTGTAGATTACAGGAAAATTATAGCGAACTTGATTGGAATTGATTAACATAGCGTTGTCAAGGAAAAACCATGAATTTTTACGAAAAATGCCTAAAAATGACTATGTACCCCCCCCCCCCTAGCGGCCACATCTTTTGACATAAAGAGCTCAAATTTGACACACTTACGTATTTTTACGTGAAAATTACAGGAAAATTATAGCGAACTTGATTCGGATTAATTTACATAGCGTTGTCAAGGAAAAATCAAAAATTTCGAAAAAAATTATTTATTCTCCCTAGCGCACACAATATTCAATCCAGACTGTTCATACTTGCTGTAAAACTCAATTTTTGCGTGAAAAATACAGGGAAAAAATGTAAGCGCGATTGGAGTTGATGATCAATTTTTATCAAATTTTTGAAGAAAAATGATAAATTTCAGAAAAAAATGTATTTTTCCGCAAAAAACGAAAAAAGTTTTTCTACAGTGATTCAAATTTATATATTTTGACGTATTTTTACGTGTAGATTATAAAAAAAATATAGCGAGGATGATTGGAGTTGATTTTTCTGGAATTAATAAACAAATTTTATTTTTTAGATAACTTTCGATTTTTCCTTGACTTAGAAAGATAAAATTTAATATTCAATATATTTTTAAAATGTAAATACAATAAAAATATTGCGAGTTGAAATAAAATTATGTTTCTTATATTTTTTTAGTAAAATATTTTTTAAAAAATAAAATCGGACAAGTGCGAGTTACACTCGCACTGAAATCGAGGGTTCCGTACTCGAAGCGAACTTATTTGGTATAAAAACAAATGTTTAAAAAATATGTGTTGTATGACAAATAATATAAGTGATACGAAGAGGAACAATTTTCTTGAATTTTACAAAATTGTTCCTTTTTGTATCACTTATATTATTTGTCATACAACACATATTTTTTAAACATTTGTTTTTATACCAAATAAGTTCGCTTCGAGTACGGAACCCTCGATTTCAGTGCGAGTGTAACTCGCACTTGTCCGATTTTTTTGTATGACATAAACACGGTGTTATGTTTTTTACCTTCCCATTGATCGAATTTACTTTTATGAAATAATACACTTGGAAAGAAATTTAAATTTTTATTACAATGAATTAGTGTATTAAGAAAATCATATTAAATAAAATACTCCTTAAAACAAAGGTATTGATGTTTTTACCTTAGTCATCGTAAAGAAAAATTTAATGTAAAGTTTTCATTAAAAATTTAGAATAATTTTTTATTACATATTCCACTAGAAAGTTGTTACAATACTTACTCTTAAAAATAAAGCAGTATTTTTCAAATCATAAATATATAATCAATGTTGTAATTCTTTTATTACAATTTTATTGCAATTCATTTTATAAATTTGTTCTTTTAAAGAAATTATTTTAAATTTTCGAAAAAAATTTAAGATTAAATTAACTTTTATCAACTTAACGAAATCGTAACTCAACCAAATATATCAAAGAATTTTATAAATTTAAAAGGCCAATTTTGCTCTGTCTTGAAGGTTTAAAAGTGATAAATACTTCGAATTTATAGGAGAAATTCGGCGAAATTTTTCTCCAAAAATTATTCTTTCTAAAAATAAAAATTGCAGATTGTGTTTCTTTTCGTAGTTTATGTTAAAAATGTAGTACGAAGCAATAAGAAGCAATAGAGCTTCTAAAGGTTTCGCACAGTGTAGAGGCTCAGAATCCACATAGCACTTAAGCATTTCACAATGCTCATCGACTGAAATTAAGGTTGGTGCTTTGTTACTTGCTGGCACTGTTTCCTAAAAAAAAAGAAAATTATTAGAAAAATACAATGAACAATCAACACCCTGAGAATTCTTTGTTGACATTTTATTTATTAAAAAATGCATATGATTATGGAGAAAAAAGTTTTTGAACAACTTATATTACAATTTAGAATAAATTAAAGTACATAATTTTGCTTTTCTTTTATATCCAGATAAAATCGGATCGTATCAAAAATCCATATAAAACATGGAATATTTAAAAGTTTATTTCGTTTTTACTTTATGAGAAATAAATGGCAAAAATGAATTAAAGTTTATTAAATAAATAAATAAATAATAAATAATAAATGTTATTTAATAAATATTAAATAACATGTTTGTGTTACCAAGAGTTAAAAATGATATTTTTAATTAATTTTAGTATATTTGTACCTTTTTACTTTTACATTTACTATTCGATATTTCAAAAACAAAGCGTTGCAATCAAATATATATATTTTTTTAAATGAAAGGTAAAAGTCTCATAAAGACACTAAAAGTGGGAGTACTATATGTCACATTAATTAAGACCAATCGCTTTTTGCTCATAAGTTTTAAAAAATTTTGTAATGCCAATAGATATTTTTCCTTCATTTTATATTCGTTTAAGACACAAAGCTATGAACAAAGCTGTACTAGCCTACAATTTTACTAGTCACTTCAAAAAAATTTTAGATTCAAGTACCCTTAATTCCAATTCTATGATAGGCTTGTGGATCTCCTTTACACTTTTGCAATTGAACAATTCGGGCAGGTATTTTAAAAGGTGAATCACGATTTTATCATCATTTTCAGTATCTTGTTCTTTAATTTTGGTTATTAAAATATTAATTACCTTCGAAGCGTTGATTTTCAAATTTGATCTCATTTCCTTAATTGGCATGTCAACCAATTTTTCAAATTCCCAAAGAAACTATTAAAAAATTTGTGAATTAAAAAGAATTCTTCTAAATCATAAAACAAACATTAAAATTAAATTATGACTGCAATCGCAAAAATTATTAATATATAAAAAAATAATATAAATGTAAAAATAATAATGAAATATAAAAAATAAAAACTTAATTTAAAATTTAATTTAACACACTTTATTTAAAAACTTTAGTAATTTTTGTATTAAATAAAAATATAATTTTTTAAATGAAATTTAAAATCTACGTACATGTGACTTTAAATGTTAACTTTTTTATTCAAATTTTTGCATCATTTATAATCAAAATCAAAACCTATAGCAAATATTAACCGTTACTTTATAAGAATTTACCAAAGTTTTTAAAATCATTTTTCTTGACAATTCTACTATAAACCATAAAATATTAAAATTGATTTTTGCAAACTGCGTAAAAAAGAATTATTGTCCAAAAAATCAAAAAACAGTGGTGTTTATGATAATAATAATCTAAAGTTTAGCGATTTGTCACAAGACATAAAATAAAAGGAATGTTTTTGTGCTAAAAATTTTGATTATGAAAAAGGAAATTTTTATATTTTGCCTAAAGTAAATTATTGCATTGAAGTACTAATAAATTTAAAAATTATGTCTTTAATAGTCATTAAACTGTAAAGAAAATAATATTTAATTAATCACAAACTGTATCCAGCAACTTTCAAAAAGGTTTTTCAAAAATTTTTAAATTATGTATTGTGAAAGATTAAATTATTTGGAAATTTTACAATTAAAATTCTTCAAAAATGCTATTACTTTTAAAATCAAAAATTTATTTACTTTCAATACTATTTTACGCTTTTTTTAATTATTAAAAACATTTTCACACATTCCAAAATTTGTATAATGTTCAATATTGATAATCTTTAAAAATTTAGATCTTATATAATTTGTTTCTTAAAGTCTTTGTTCAATAAATAATTTCATAATGTTAGTGATGTTTTAAAAATATTTGACTATTAAAAAATTGTTATTATACATTTTCGAAACTCAGGAATTAAATTTAAAAAAAATTAAATGAAAAATTTAATTTTACTTTTAAAGAATTTTAATTGAAGTTCTTAAATTTTAATTTTAAACGATCATTCGACTAAAAAGTTGCATTTAAAAAATCGTGATAAATGATACAATATCACTGTATTTAAAGAATTCAAAGATTTTTTTATGCAATTCAACGTGTTTTTAAGTTTTCTATCTAAAAACAATATTCAAGAAAAAATCCAGGTTTTCAGAGTTTTCAAGGGTCGCTGAATACATTGCTTAAAAGGAAAATAATATAGTATCAAATATCTGAATATTATTTTAAAGGATAATGTTTGCACTTACCAAGTTTTGATCATGTAAGGCTGGGTATTTATTTAGCAAATCCTGGGCAGTTAAAGTTCGCGAATCTCTTTTTCGTGTCTCACGTGTGTCTGTGAGTAATTTTTTCAATCGAAAAATATCTCTTTCGATATGAGAATATTCTTCAGCCATTTCTAAGCAGCTGTCGGGCATAGTATCAGTACTTTCCCTTTCGTTACCAGTATTTCTACCTCTAGATGTATCAGCTTTATTTCGATTCGGATTCGATCGAGTTTTTCTATTTTTTAGACAATTTATTAGCCCCATTTGTAGCCTCTCCTAATGAAACATCATAAACATATGTGGAAATAATTAGGCATTATATTAAAAGGGAATATAAATTAATAAAATTTTATTTTAAAGATCAATTAAATATGTAACATAATTTTTGTTTTAAAAATTCCATAAAGTGTTTAAAATTCTCTATTTTTAACTTAGTTCAGTTGCCTCGACTAAAAAAATACCTTTTTTTACTGTTTTTAAAACCTTATATAAGTAATAGGTATTAAATTATTTTTAAAAATGTTATATAATTACGTGAGGTTCTTTCGACGTTCCTTTCAGTCCTATAAACTTGTCAATTGCCAACTTAGATATTTGCAAAATATCATCTCTTGTAGTGCAATCAGCTGTTATCATTCTTTCTGCTAAAATTCGTACACATGCGTTAAAAGGATTTCTTTTCATTTTGTCTTCGACTTCTTCTGGATTGGAATACAATCCTGCTGTAACGTCATCTTTACGATTCCCATAGAAAGAATCCGGGATAAGAAGAGCCAATTTATCCTACATATTCAGTAAATTAATCTAAATAAATACTAGCTTTTAAATAAAAAAAAATTCAAGATACAAATTTTACATAACTGTTCCAAAACAGTAGAAAAGTTTTTTTTAGTAAAAACTGACTTTTGTAATAAATGAATATTCTGGAATAAATTCCAGAAATTGTTGTGTTTATACAAAACATTTCTAAAATGCTTTTTTGTAATATTCTATAAATTTTACAAAACTATATTTAAATAAGCGACATTAAATACTATCAAAAAATATATAAATTGAAAATATATTTTTACCAAGTGCTGTTGAATCTCTTGAGGCAAATTGAAAAATGGAGTAGTTAATACATCCTCATCTTTCATTTTTTCTTCACCTCCTGTTTTCATTTCCTCATTTTTCGACTTTACATTTTCAGTTTTCTTCAGGTATTCGTCTTCTGATTTATATAAAAAGTCAGCAAAAATATTCTGCGAAATTGTGTCAAAATTTTCATTTGTCTTGGATGTTGAAGTTGACTGTGAATTTTCGGATTGAATTAAATTGATCTTCGCAGTTAAGTGATCATCTACAATAAATATTATGAAATTTAAATAAAAATACTATTTTTATTTAACCAACCAAAACTTTTGGTTGGTTTAATAGTTTCTTTTTCACAAAGGTTCACACTTTTTTTATCTTTTTACATAGAGGTGCCCAAATTTCAAAGAAATAAATTTGACAAATTATGGTTTTTTAAACGCAGACATATTACTATATTGACATATTTTAAAATTTTCTACACTAATAAATCTAGAACAATTTTGCTAAAAGAAAAAAAAATTAATTCACTTTCAACTTTTGGATGCTTAAAAAATATTATGTTTCATTTTTTATTTTTTTTAAACAAATTCAGTTTCCAATTTGGGATTGTTTTCTTTATTTGTATATTTGTCAAGAAATAAAAAGAACGGTTTGCAAAAAGTTCTGAAATAGGCCTGATAAAGCTGTTTTGTTTAAATATAGAAATTAAATTAAATTAAATATAGAAAGTGTAATACATTTTTAGAAAAGGAAAACAAAAGACATATTAGTTTGAAAAATAAAAAAGTTTTAAAATATTTTTTATTAATTTCATTCTAATAATCTATAACTTTACCAAGTTTAGCGTGTTTTACAGGAACACAGTTACAATAAGAGCATAAATTGTCCTTCGTGTAGCAATATGAAGGACAGTTGTTGCATTCGCAAGGACCTCGCTTAACCCCATGGCAATCTAAATTATTCATTTCTGAAAACATAATTGTTTATTATTTAATTATTTTGTGTCATACACATATTTCACCGACAAAAATATATTTAAATATTCTTATTTCGTCAATGATGGGCAGAAAATTCGTTTAAAGTATTAATAATAATTCAAATCGAAATAAAAAAAATGAATTTCTATTACATTAAAACAACAAGTTAATAGAAAAATAAAATAATTTTTTTAATTGAATCTTATATTTCACAAATAATTGTTTATTTTGTTAATATAGTTAGTTTCAAAAATTATTACCTGCGCTGTTTGGAAATGCGATGTTCGAGATGTGAATTTTACACTGCTGAATCCAGTTTTCTTTTATTCCATAGCAACCTTTGCTGTTCATTTGTTTAAAAATGTTATTAAACAACTGATTAAAAAAAAAGATGAGACATGAAGTACTGCACTGATATTTGCATACACTGGTAGAACGTAACACTGTACGCACGTGTTGTTATTGTCAAAAAAACTAACCTAACACGAGAAAGCCGGAATTATTTTAAGATAATTCCTGACAACATATTTATAAAAAAATGGAGGCAACTTAAAGACAAAAATTTTGACATAAGTCATATTAGTTGTATTATCTTTAAATTCTCGCATTTATTTAATACGTTAAATAAATAATAAAAATTTGTGAAAAACAGGATGATAAACCTGTCTCTCAATCAGAGATAGATTTCATTTTAAAGAAGCATTCTGATTGGCTGCCATTTTTAATAAGAGAAATTACTTTAACAACTTGTGAAAATTTTTTTAAAATGACAAATGATTCTCATTGAAATTTATAGATTATTAATAATTAATTGATATGAATGTATTTTCTGTAGTTTAGTTATGATAGTCTTTCAATTTTAAGATTTTAATATAATTTTCAAAAGCAAACTGACAAAACTATTGCAGTCTGCTAAGACTGGCAGAGTTGGCAGCAATGAAAGTGAAAAGCAAAACAAACAGATGACAACATGTGTACGTGTAGAAAGTTTGGAAGCATTTTCATCGGTTTTTCTTGCTCAATTTAGCATTATTTTAAGTGACGAGTGAAGAAAAATATTACAAGGTGACATCAACCACATCGAAACCAAACTTACTATAGTTATGAATAATATATGTCTCATATTTTTTGTGACAAAAGTGTGTTTTATATAACCGCATCACACTGAAGGGTAAGTCTTTTGTATAGATTTTTCACAAAGTCAACAAGATTTAGATTTTCACTTTTTTAAAATTTATTTTATCGTTTATTTTATTCATATATATATATCAGGAGAGTTTTGTAAAAAATCAAATATCTTTAATGTGGTATTTTAAGAAAGAGACATGATATTAATTTTCCATAAGTCAAGATGTAGCATCGCAGAAAACAAATACATTAAAAGATTTTACAATTACAATTTTTTCATCTTTATTGTAAAAGCTTGAGTTAGACGTTTGATAATTATCTTTCATAAGGGTATGATATGTCCGTTTTTGTAGATTAACTCGTTTAATCGGGGATAATTTTTTAAATTTTATATTTAATTCGCTAATCATTCAGTCAAAAACTAATATATATATATATGTTATTTGCTTTTATTAATTTAAGAGGTTTATACAGAGGTTTGAAAGAAAAATAATCACTTGACTTTGTAGTGTAATTTATCGACTGTTCCCTAATAGCTATCCAATTATTATTAAATTAGTAAACACTCTCCAATATATGACTTTTGTAATATCTGCACAATCTATATTTTTGTTTTATTAATTTCATAAAACGTTGCGTTAAAAATGTTACGAAAATTAATTTTAAGAAATTATATACTTTTTTTGACTTACTCAAATAATTTCTTATTAAAGTTTATTACAAAAATATAAAATATTTCGATAAGGATAAAGACTAGTTCCAACACAGCTTTTATTTTCAATCAATCAATCAATTTTCATTCCTAATCAGAGATTAAAGCCTATGGGCGATTCCACGTCAGATTTCAGTCGACTTTTTAAATTTAGCCAAACATATTTTTTTTCATTCTTTATAGAAAAAAAACAAATACGTATTTTTTTATTTTTTTATGGGCGATCAATTTTTCGAGTTATGAATTTTCAAAATTTTGGTTTTTTGAAAGTAGACCTATTTTCAATGACCTATAACTCGAAAAGTTTTGAAATTAGAAAAATATTACCAGGATAAAAAATGTTCAGTTTTTCTTTGACTTTTCAATCATATAAACTAAAACAAAAATTTGTTGATTTGAAAAAAATAACAATAATTTTTTATAAACAAATTCACTTTTTTTTTAATTTGTACATGTTTTTTTAAAAATTTTTTTGCTTTATTTCTTACTTGGGAACAATAAAAATAGTTTGCACACTATTTCATAATGGGCCTGATAATACTTATTGTTTAAATAAATTGTTTATAAAAAAAAAATTTTTATTCTTTCTTTTTTTACATTTTTTTTAACAAAAAGTTTTTTAATTTGATTTTTTTATAAGTGGATTAAACAGTCCTAGAGATTAAAAAACTTTTTGTTAAAAAAAAATGTAAAAAAAGAAAGAATAAAAAATTTTTTTTATAAATAATTTATTTAAACAATAAGTATTATCAGGCCCATTATGAAATAGTGTGCAAACTATTTTTATTGTTCCCAAGTAAGAAATAAAGCAAAAACATTTTAAAAAAAACATGTCCAAATTAAAAAAAATGAATTTGTTTATAAAAAATTATTGTTATTTTTTTCAAATCAACAAATTTTAGTTTTAGTTTACATGATTGAAAAGTCAAAGAAAAACTGAACATTTCTTATCCTGGTAATATTTTTCTAATTTCAAAACTTTTCGAGTTATAGGTCATTGAAAATAGGTTTACTTTCAAAAACCAAAATTTTGAAAATATTAATTGTAGTTACAGTATTAAACTGCTATAGTTATTTTTACATAAATGTTTTAGGCAAACCGCTGAATTTTACTTTTATATTGCTTTAATATTTTGAAGTAAAATTTCTTGTCGTTTAAAATTTTTAAAATGTACTTTTGCAATGACCGATGCACTCATTGATCTACTTTTTTAGGAATGGCGGCCCTTCCAATGAATCGTAGGTTTGAATGCGATTACATGAATTGTAATGCCTCATTCAATAACAGATCTTCATTAAGATCTCACAAGTCGAGAACCCATAGAAATAGAGTGCCTTTACAGAACGTAGATAGAAATATTGTTGAACAAAATAACAATCTCAATGATCAAAATGTTATCGAAGATGTTCAAAGAGATTACGTAAACCCAGATTTAATAAACGATGAGCAACATTTGAACAGTCAGAGCGATGTAGAATATTCAAGTAGTGGTAGCGAAGAGGATGAAGCAGTTGAATTAACTGATGATGATGATCAGGGTGATCATGATGCTGGTGATGATGATACCGATGAAGAAGTTGAACAAGAACCTGAAAATTTGGATCCTAGACAACGTGCAATAGGACTACTTTTATTGCAACTGAGAACAAGAACAAACATTTCTGAAGAAAAAATAAATATTATTCTCCAATCAATGCAAGATGTTGTTAAAGAATTTTTAACACATTCTTTACAACAAGTGGAAAGAGTTTTGGTGGAACAAGAAAATATACAACTTAGGGAAATATTTAACATTGAAGAACATGTAGAAAATATAAATTTTATTGGTGATTTCAACACTCAACAGAAACGATCAAGATATTTTGAAAAGCAATTTAAGGTACTAATGCCAAAGAAACGTATCCTAGGAAGGCGGTTTATAAAACATGGAAGTACAAACATCGGCAAAGACCGTCCTACAAAAATCAAGATAGATGAAATGTATTTTGTTCCACTATCGAAAGTGTTGAGAAATTTTTCTCAAAATCCAACCTTTTCTTACATTTTGGAAAATCATATTCCAAAACAAGATGTCCTTACTTCATTTCGAGATGGATTAAAATTTCAAAATCAAGTCTGGAGGCATAATAATTCCCATCACAGTATTTTATTATACACGGATGAAGTGGATGTGTGCGATGCGTTGGGATCAAAATCGTCTGGCAATCAAAAATTTTTGATGATTTATGCATCTAGTCTCAATCTACACCCAATGTATCGCTCTGCTCTACAGCACATTTATCTTGTAGGAATTGTGAGATCTAGAGACGTAAAATTGTATGGATTGAATAGTATTTTAAAACATATTGTCAAGGATTTTAAAAAAATCGAAAATGGAATCCAACTCGCTGATGGGACCATTATTACTGGTTCACTCTTTGCAACAATAGGAGACAATCCTGCGCAAAATGCAGTATGCGGTTGTAAAGAATCTTTTGGCACAACAAGACACCCATGCCGTTTTTGTCTTGCCCACCTTTCCGAAATCCACAATATGGTTGAAGAGGAAGAGAGCTTGCTACGTACCAGAGAAAAACACGACATACAAGTGTCAATGATTGAAAATGCAGAGGGTTCAGCGAAAGAAAAATTGATGTCTGAATACGGGATCAACAGGAGAAGTGTTTTAAATGATCTTTTTTTTCATCATATTACTGAAGGAGCGCCTCCTGATATTATCCACGATCTAATTTTGGGTGTATTACCAAGGACAATGCAACAACTATGTCAAAATGTTATTTTTAAGAAAATTTCACTTGACGAACTCAATAGGAGAATAGCTTCGTTTGATTACGGTTACTCTGAAGTGGACAAACGTCCCCCTCCCTTAAAGGCTTCTCATCTTGTTCCAGGTGCTAACATAAAATTATCAGCTGTCGAAATGTGGACACTTGCACACATTCTGCCATTTCTTGTGCAAGATCTCATTGAACCAGATTGTCCGTATTTCGCAAATTACATGACCTTGCTTGAAATAACTTGCATCGTCTTTGGACATGAAATTAGTCGAGGAATGGTTGACGTTTTGGGCGACCTGATTGCAGATTACTTGCAAACCTTCACTGATCTGTACGGTGCTGACTCGTTAATTCCTAAACAGCATTTCATGATACATTATCCCCGATTAATCTTGTATTTTGGACCACTTGGAACATTCATGTGCTTACGTCCTGAAGCAAACCATCAGGTTTTCAAAAGAATCGTCCAAGGCATGCGCAATTACAAGAATCTCCCGTTAACTTTGTCCGTTAGATACCAACAAAGACAAGCTCTGGAATTGCAAAACCCTTTAACGAAAGAAGTGAAATTTGGTGCAAAGAAATTGTTACTCAATTATAATTTACCATTCTCCCATTTATTTCACGAAGGAGAGCTACTTTGCACTGCATCATGGGTTAATGTGAACGGAATTAAATACATTCCAAGAAAATGTCTCCTTGCGATTGGCTACTCCAATGAAAATGAACCTCAATTTGCGACACTAGAGATTATCCTAAGATACAATGAGGGACCAATTTTTATTTGCAAAACCATCAAAACTATTGAGCTCAACATGAATTTAATGGCCTACGAAATCGCTTTCCAAGATAAATTTAAGGTTTTAAGACCTCGTGATCTGAAAACTCATGAAGTATTCCACAGTCATAAATTTAAAAACAAGTCCTTTGTGATAGTCAAACGATGCTTCGGCGTCATCTTTTAAACATTTTTTGTGACAAGCTTGTTTCTCGAGAAGATTACAGTAATACATTGAAACAAAATGTTTTACATCAGAAGTTTAAATTCCTAATTTATCACCTTATCAGAGAGTAATCTACAGGTTCTATAATATTACTCCAAATAAAATACCACTGCTAAAACATTTTTCAATGGATTATATTTCACAAATTTTCTTAACGTCACAAGGATATTATTTGAAATTCAATTATTCGAAATATTCTTGTACATCAATCTTACGAAAGCAGTATCGTATCATATAATTCTGTGTATCTTATTGGAAAAGATCACAGTGAATTCGTTAAATCACTCAGATAATACGTCAGACTTTCAAGCATGATAGGTCAGTATAATTTGTATTTGAAAATATGTTCAATTAAGTTTATTTAGATAAATATGTTTTTTATATTAATACTAATTATCTTTAAACAATAAAAGATTTTACCTTGTTTTTATCCAAAAACTGTAAACTATACTTTTAATTCCATTTTAACAAAAATAATTTTATTTCAGCCTCATGAATCGCTACATCAGTAAAAACATCTTAGATTTTTTCGAAAATCTCAATTATTGTGGTTTTTTAAAGATTTCCATGACTTTCAATTCACTTCAACAATGTCATGAGCTATGACTGCGCCAAGCAAACATGTTTTCTTGTTTTCAAGAATTGCCATAAAAAAATATGGTCAAAGAATTACCAAGGTATGAATTAATGTTATTAATTAATGAAAAGAGACTTTTTATTGTTTATAGGTATACAATCTCCTTTTAAAGTATAATTGTCTCCTAAAAAGTATTCTAGAAGTAAAACAGTAACATTTCAACCCAAAGAATGTTCTAATTTTTGATAGAAATAAAAATTAAGATAAAAAAATTATAAAAATTTTTAAGTCATAAGTTATATAAATTGAAAAATGTTTACAGGTTTTTAAAAAAAAAGTAAAACAGATTCAGCGTCGTTTCTTTCAGCATAGTTTCCTCAAAAGCAAACTATAAATTTTGAGGAAATTATCCATATTAAGTCAGAATATGCTGCATCTTTTAAATTATTTGGAGTAGTTTTAAACATTAAATGATTCAAATATTCCATCTGCACATCATTCAATTATATTTCCAAGAGAAAATTTCCACTATTGTTCTAAGAATATTACCAAGAAACGCTAAATTCTTTAAAAATCTAGTTTCAAAACTAAATTTCAATATTTAATTAAAAATTAAAAATCCATAAGTTGTTAGATTTTCATTAGAGCTACACTTTTTATTTTACTTAATAAAAATAATTTCCAGAACTTAAAAAATAGTTCGACTGACTATTAATCAAGTAATATTTCTCGATTTAACACTCTAATAAATATAAAATTTGTCAGAAAAAACACTAGAGAATTTCGAAAAATATTCTTTACAGGAAGAATTACTCATTCAAAGTTTTTATACTTGTATTTCTTACTGGAAAAATGTAAAAACTTTAAATATTCCAATTTTCTTTCACTACAGAATATAATTATTACTTTATTGCAGGGCTTATTGTTTCCGGAAATAAATGTGCCAATATTAAAACAGCTGATACATATGGATTGCAATTACAATAGTAAGAGGACCCGGAACATACAATGAACAAATCAATTGAAAACCTTGTTGTCACCTGTTCTCAGATTTTATCCGTTCCAAATATCGAGACAGCAAACATCAAATATTGTGTCATATCACTTATTTATTATTATATTATTGTCCGTTATTTTTCATTATTGTCTAATTGTCAGTTGTTTTAACTTTTACCTAACTTTTACTTGTTTCAAAATGTCAACAATGATAACTGTTTTTGATTTTTAAAAACCAATTACAATTGTAACATCAATGCGTTGAATTTTACATAAAGCTAATATTAAATATTTAATTTTCAAAACCAAATTTAACAATTAATCTAGAAATTATTTCCTACAATTCAGACAATTAAAAAAGGAACATTTCGAAAGAAATAGCACCAATTTTTCAAAATCAGGATTGTTGAATAGAATTTTTATTTTTTTTATTTTCTTGTTTATTGTTTTTTTATTGCTTTATTATTATTTATTAAATAATATTTTATTTATAATTAATTTTATTATTAAAATTGTTTACTGTATTTTATATTTTTTAAAATTTAATTTAATTTAAAATTTAAACAAATAAATTACTTTATTATTACAACTTTATTGCTTCAAAGTTTGTTTTTATTTCTTAAAAATTATTTTTGAATTTTAAGAAATGAGTTTAAATTCAAGCCTTATTCAAGTTTAAATTAAATTTAAATTAAAGCCTAAATTCAAGTTTAAATTCAGAATAATCAGAAATTATATCACGCAAAAAAATTCTTTGCAATTTGAAAAAATTTAAATATATCATAGATCTGCTTCTTTTACTAAATGTATACAGGAAAAATAATTAAAATCGATGTAAATCAATGTGAAAAATTTATTTTCAAATTCAGAAGGGGATTTTTCTAAAAATGTTGGAACCTACAATGCAACACAGTTTCTAATTTGATAAAATGTTCTTTAATGGTAAAGTGAAAATGTTTGATTATATTATCCAAATTACAAGAAAAAACGCAGAAAATTATTCAATTATTGTAATCAAATTATTTTATTTTAACAAATTAATTTAAAAGAAATTTTTCTTACAAGTATAAGCAATTCTAAGCAAGCGGTTATGGTTAGATTATACAACCTTATTCCAAAGAATTAAGATTTAGTTGCACAAAACAGAATTGAATAAACAAAATTTGTTTTTAAATTCAAAGTCGAGTGCTTTAACAATTTTTTACTAAAACGTCAAATAGAAAATGCAATTTTTTCATAAACTCAACGATGGTTATGTCATTGACGTTTCAGAACAAACAATTGACATCAAATGTTGCAGTAAAATAATACAAATTTTGGATCATTTTGATCTATTTTTTAAATCAATTTGATCTGCAACGCTTTTTGATACCCCCAAAGTAACTGTGTTCACATTTTATCAAAAAGAAAAAAAAACCCTATAGATATATATTGCAATTACAATATAAAATAAAAATGAACAAAATGTCTTGTGACTCATATATATATCGGAACTTACATAATATTTAATAGATTTGTTGTATATATACTGCAATGCATTTTAAGCACAGGTCGTGTCAACATGCGTACACCTCGCGCTTATCTGCGTGAAATACTAATACCCACCTCTCTAAAATGTATATTACCTATACAACCACCTTTTTCCTCGAGTTCACTATACTTTTTTTTTTTTTTTTTTTTTTTGTTTTGAATCCACACTGCTGCAGCACTGACGTTTGCGGTATATGAACATTAAAAAGTTATATACGAAGGTATTCTCACGCTCCAGTGAAAAAGAGAGTGATATAATTTGTTTTTTTTATTTTTTCCCTACTTTGAGAGACTTTTTGTTTGAAAATTGAATATAGTACCGTTTCAATTTAGGGACAATGAGGAAATTACTTTTTCTGGTATAACTATATTAAAGTTTGTAAAACAGAATACGGAGGTCCATATATGAAATACTAAAAATAGTAGGTTTTCACGAATGTTTCCACAGAAAATTAAAAGGCATTAAAATAAGCTGCAACGCTTCTTATTTTAATCCAATGTTGCTTATTTTAATACCAACATGGATTAAAATAAGCAAAATTGGATTAAAATAATAAGCGTTGCAGCTTATTTTAATGCCTTTTAATTTTCTGTGTCCTAAAGATGTCGAATATAGTTCGGAGTTTTAAAAATTTAATCTTTTTGTAATTCAATCATTTATAGAAATTTAATCTTTTGGTAATTCCAATTTTTAACAATTGGGTAAGAATTCCTGAAGTGTATATATACAGATGACAGTAACTACAATTGACAAAAGAATTTACTATAAAATACTAAAAATAAAATAATACATTCCTTTAAAAATAAATTTAATGATTTTTATCTGATACTTCTTCCATTCTTTCTTGCAATTTTTCATTTTCGGAAATATTAGGAAAAGATTTTTTAATTTTAAATTTATCAGAGCCAATTCTGCATCTACATGAAGTGCATATGTATTGGCCTATGAGAGAACTGAATTCAAACTTCCACTCCTTCGTAAAACAAGCTTAATATTTTTGTAAATTGAATTATGGTTTTTTTTCAATAACGGATTACAGCACTTATTTACAGGTATCATTTTTAATGTAAAACTGGATTAATAGTCAACATTAAAAAACATTTCACTTATTAAGAAAACAGACTTGTTGACACAATAATAAACACTCGAGAAAAGTTGATAGAAAATATCAATAAAAAATGAACAAAATATATTTAATTAAATGCTAAAATTATAATATTTAAATATTAAATGTTAAAAAAACAACACTTTTGTAAAAAATATTTTAAACTAATAATAAGAATACAATTCACAAAATTGTAGCGAATTCAACGTAACTCGTTTACAGCTTGTTTAGATCTTTCCAATAAAATTTGAATGAACTTTCTGAAACGTTGAGAACATGGTTAATTTTGCAGTTAAACAATTAATTTTACAATAACAATTAGTAATTTGCAACAAAATTTTTTTTTTATTTTTCAATTAAAACTCCAGTATTTCAGGTTTTCAAAAATATGTCGTTCATTAAAATCCGTCTATTCTATTCCAAGATATGAATTTTTTAACTAAACAGTGTAAAAAATTTCAATTGTTTATAACTAAGAGAAATTTAAATTTTTCAAAAAATCCTTTAAACCGTTTAATAAACTCATAATGAAGTTTACATTTTTCATATTGCCAATTAAAAACAGTAAAATTGAAAATTTGCTGTTACACTTTAGGAATTCTTACCCAATTGCATTTTTTGGTTATATGCGAACTATCAACAATTCAGTAAAATGGTTATTTAACTTTATTGAATTGTCTGAATTTTTATTGGCCCGAATTATTGACGAATTTCAATAAAAATTCATTTAAAGAAAATAACTGTTAAATAAAAATTCTGTTAAACAATAATTCGGTAGCTAAACATTTTGTTAAGTAAAAATTCGTATAAAAAGAAATTCTGTCAAATGCTAATTCGGGACGACACAGAAAATTAAAAGGCATTAAAATAAGCTGTAGCGCTTATTATTTTAATCCAATTTTGCTTATTTTAATACCGAAATGGATTAAAATAAGCAAAATTGGATTAAAATAATAAGCGTTGCAGCTTATTTTAATGCCTTTTAATTTTCTGTGGAATGATTATATGTTCTAAAAATCATTAGTTAGATTTTTATTTTATGGAGTTTCATTTGTCATAATTAATTTTGAGCCGAATTTTTATTTATTCGAATTAGAGTATTTTGAAGAATTTTCATCAAAACGATTTTCTATATATTACAGAATTTTTATATAACCGAAAATTCACTTCACAGAAAATTTTTTTGGTTCTAAAATATAAAATTTTGAAAGTGTATAAGGATCACATAAAAGGTGTTTTTTTTTCATACTCAAAAAGGACTCTAGTAATTTTTGTACACCGACACTATGGAAACGGAAATGTGAGGCTTATCAGAGAAAGTTAACTTGTTAGTAAACCCTACGAAAAAAAAATTACTATAGTGACTCATACAGCTGGTGAAACCAGTAGTGGTTGTCAGAAAGCAGACATTTTAGGCATTTTTATAGACTCTTGACAACTTTTTGATTCACGACCTGTACTATATATATATAGTTGCTCAATGATTAGATATACACAAAAACACAAGAGTTTGGATTGTAACAAGGAAAGTTGCTTCACATTTTTTTTTTGTTGTTGTTGTTTAAAATGCATAGTCTAAATCAACTTTTTTTTCTCCGTCTTTTTTTCTAGTTGTTAAAATCGTGACTTGTGATTTTCATTTATAAATATATATGTATAACGTACCACTTTAGAGAAAGTGTTAACTAAAGTGTGACATATATATGTATATGTATATGTTAATAATTACCAAATCTAAAAAGTTTGCAAAGATAACTAAAAATAATAATTGCAATAGAATTGTAAAATTTCCTAATAGTCCGAATGTTAAGAAATTATTTTGACTAGCGATTCTAATGGAGGTAATTTAAAGAAGTAACAGATAATGAATCGGTACAAAAGTTAGTCCAATTGTGTTTTGGTGAAATTTTAAACAATTAGAAATTGCATTTAAATCAAAATTAAAAGTTTTCATGCATAAGAAACGGTTTAGGTAACAATATTATTTTTATAGGTTATGTTACCTAAACCGTTTCCTATACATAAAAACTTTTAAATTTTGATTTAAATGCAATTTCTAATTGTTAAAAATTTTTAAATTAAATTATTTAAAATTTCATCGAACACTTCTTTAAAATTTGAATTATCTTTTTTTTTAAATACACAGTAGAACTAACTTTTGTTCCGATTCTTCCTTAAATTATATAACTAAACAAATTTGACTATACTGATAGCAAATTATCTGTTACCAACAGAGTAATAGGTTGATTTTACTTTTTTTTATTTTTTATTTATTTAATACAATTTATGTACGTTATATCATTTTTTTATTTTTGCTTTCTCTGATCGTAATAAGTAGATTTCAATCTGTATGAAGTATAATTAATTTTATAGAATTTTTGGAGAAAAAGGATAAACATTATTTTGAATTCAGAAGCAGACAATATTCTGCAATACCTATAATGGCAATTGTAGGTCTAGGTTGGACATTTCTGAGCTCGCCTACACAAGTTGAGATTGGAAGGGAAAAAGTGAAAAGTGCTTACAAGTTTCAAGTCACGTAAAGCCTTTTCGAGATGCACTAAATAATAATGGAGAGCTAAAAACACGTTTGCATTGTTGTTGCTTTGTTAAACTTCTTTTCCACCAACTTTACAGTAAAGAATACATATGCTGAAAA